TTATTATTTTTATATTAGGGTTAAACAATACACAGTTCCGTTATTTGTAATCTTATATATGTTTATTTGTAATCTTATATATCTTTCTTCACTTGTCCTATTGAACATTATTTTACTTATTTTTTTACTGTTCCATTTTCCTTATCATTAGTCTTATAATGTTCATAATATTGGGACATATACCCTTCTTATGGAAGAGCTAAATTGGAAATATAGGCCATACCTCACTTATGCCATATGGGGTATACAATAATATAGAAAACATATGTATTAATAACAAATGCAATTGCAATGAATGCACTTATTTTCCAATATTTTCGAAATATAGCTTGATACTCGTATTTATAATGTATCTGCTACTCATCCTGGATTATTTTTTTATAATAACTGGCTAGTAAAATTTGTTGTGCTAATAGAATTTGCATACCAACATCAACACATGACCAATATACCTAGTTGTAAATGTGTACTTAATGTGAATGGTTAATAATTAATTATTATTATCATTTTTAGCATCATAAATGTTATTCAGAAAGAGGCAATATCGTTTTTTGTGTTTCATGTTTATTTGCAAAACAAGTGAATTCAATAAAAAATAAAGAAGAATTGCAAGTGATTGTAAACTCCAAAAGCATGGCGTGGACACACTTTTATTCGCATTTATATTTGGAGCGTGGCTCACAGGTGGTAAAATGCTCTAGTTATGCCGCGCACAATTCATACGGGATGAGTATTGGCCAATTGAGAGAGTGCGTGCGAGCAATACCATCGAACAGCTAAGATTCTGAAGACGTATAAACGCTTTACATGGAAATGTCATTGCTATTCAATGAGAATAACATACTTTCTATGATTATTTGATAAGGTTATAACTCTAATGCACTTTAACAAACTATACTAAGTACTTATTGTTTGATAGAGTGACTAGAATTTAAACGATTCCTACAGTTTTCGTAAAGTTTAATGTTTAACCTATGTGTCATTGATTAGAATGAATCAAATGTGAAATACCTATTTTTATTATTTATACGTGTTTATCGTCATCTTTTTTTTTATAAATTTGAATAGAGTTTGAACAAAACAAAAATATAAAAGAGGTAAGCAAGACCTTGCCTTTATGTATAAGCATTTAATATAAGTATTTTATAACATGAAGGTATTTTAAACATTTTTAAATGTTATATAGATTGGCTTTCACAATATTTTTTCAAAACTAATATTGTATAGTTTCACAAATAATATCATAGATACAAGGTGTGGATACATACAAATAATCAAAGTAATAATTGCAAATTTCTTGGTTATAATTGTAATACATGGATTTTAGCTACTCATTCTGGAATGTGAGCAATGTATATGATGTTGTCTATTATTTATTTATATTTAATATAAACAGTAATATATCAATTATTTAACTATTCATACTGTAAGTATATGAACATTAAAAACAAGTTAAAATTAAAATAACACTACAAGATGAATTATTAATTTTCAAAGAAAAACCTGTTGAGTGTCCTAATCCGTTGTTGAAACTAAACAACAATTTATTTAACGTCAATATAAAATTGGTGTTATTAATGGAACGCCACGTAGGTCGTAGTTAATAATAACATTTCATTCAACATCACACTTCGTCCGTTGTTTGAAGGCCTCATCAAACAGCCAAAAAACTGTCAAATAAGGCGCGGAGTGCGGCCGAGGCTAGGTGTCAAAAGCTTTACCTGACTTGACACCTACGCGGCCGCTATGCTGGACAGTTTGTTTGGGAATTATCCTTTCACACCTCAATCTTATAGTCGCTACTCAAATTATTGTCTAAACAATATAAATCTCAAAGTTTCACGTTTAATCTGAATTTAAAAAAAACCGTAAGCGTAAGGTTGATGTAGTAGATGAAGTTTAAATGTCGTCCAAATAATACAAAACAAAAAAACTGTCGCGCTCAATTTCAAAAAGTGGTTCGAACAGCGATCTTCGATTCGCTCATGACTCGAATTAATGTAGTAACCCCCGTTTTGAGCCCATAAAAATTCACGACAAAACCAGTATTAAGCGACTGGATGGCAGAGGTTTGGTTGTTTTTCGGCTCGTTCCCCGAATCTGTGGAAATGTCCGAGCAAAAACCCGACGGAACAGGATTTTGTATCGGCATCGCCAAATCTGGATGCGTTAAGAAATGATAAAGAGAACGCCGCACCGGCGAGGAGGCAAGAACCTAAGAAAAAATATAGCGGCCGAGTAAGAAATTCACACTTTGAAGTGGCTTGAGTGGGTGCTAAAGAACAATGTTCGGGGATACGCCTACACCTTTAATAAATCCAATTCATTTAGATAAAAATCTTAATCGATTAAATCTAATACAATACGTCATTTTATTAATAGTAAATCATTTGAATACATGGCGAGCTTGTGAAGGGTAGGTTCTCATGAAGATATTAAACGAAGCTTTGTGTGTGAACGAAATATACGAGTAGATGAAATAGGTATACTTAAAGCCTAAATTATATTAATTACAATTTTCAATGTTATTATTCAGTACAATTTCGGTAGGATTATTAGTTGATTAATATATTAAAATCCGTGAAGCCTGATAAAGTCATTGAGTAGATAAAACTAAAATTATGTCATGATGACGTAGCTTATCAATAATTAACTCATCGCTAATGTTTCCAACAGTGACTTGCATAATGATCCTATTGGTTTTTGGACGATAGTAGATTCGATGTCAACTTGTTACCTCTGAATATTGATTTGAAAATATCGACCCATAAAAGATTAAGGTTGATTTTATTACATTTGATTAATTTATATTAATGTTTATTTTAAAGTGAATTTCTAAAAAGAAACATTTATTTTGTAGAAAATAAACTGTTTCAATTCCTTCGAGGAACTTATATTGGCAATATCATTTAATTTGCAAGTAAATGTTTGTAACACAAATATTACATGCATACATTAAGTTCAAGCTTACAAGCACTAATATTTAGTTCTTCAAAATATTATTAAGAGCGGTAGCAAGAGGAAAATCTAAACTAAGAATTTATTGAGTGTAATTTGATGTTTGGTAGTCAAGTGTCACACTTGATAGAAAGGAACAAAAATTAGATCATATAATCAGTTGACATCTCAAGACAAGCAGCTACATCATATGTGATAAAGTCACGTGAGAACAGCTAGTAAAATATATGTTTATTAAATCAATATTAAAAAAAATATTCTGGTATTGATGTTTGCTTGGGAATTCATATGAAGACGCTTCAGAACAACCGCTCGCGGATAAGTTTAAGAAAGCTAAAAAAGCAAGTACATACATTATATATTATGCCAATATTGTTGATCTAGGATAACGATCTATTTGTGTAAATATTTAATTCAAATAATTAATCGTCATCATCATCATCACCATCCATATAATGTCTCCGCTGCTGGGGTTCAGGCGTTTCCTATGGATGAGATCGAATCAAATGGGATAGTGGAACGCGGGCCCGTTGTGGATCGATGGGTATTTACCACTGCAGATACAACCGGGCTTAACGTGTCTTTCGAAACACGGAGGAGCTCGAGTTCGATCAAGTAGCCAATTTCATTATTGAATTTATCAAACATATAAATGTTTATTTCATCGTACTGCATCGGTGATCTGATTCGCATATTCGTAATGATGCGCCACACTGTTATAATGCGTCCATTATTCAATTCTAATTTTGGTAGTGGGTGTAATACGATTGTCAACTTGAATAATGCTTGTTGATTGCGCAAGGTCTTCTGGTATTTACGTGATGTGATCCCCTTATCGTTTATCACAATGATTTTTAAAGAAGTCAATATGATAAATAAATCGTATTGATATACCAATTATCTGCATAAGGTTAGAAGTGTGATTTGGGTCATTGTTTTGTATAACTTGAGCTGCGAATCTATTTATCATTTTAATTTTTAGGTTTTAGTCATTTGATGTCTCGTTTGTGTTTTGTTTTTTACTTCTAAATAATATCAGATTCAGAAATTAGTCTGTTATTGGTCTAAAAACGTTCAAAAGGATGTTGTGCTTATGATAATAGAACCTTTTTTAATGATTGCAGATTCTAATTTGCCGCTACTAATCTAACTAGATAATAAATTACCATCTAATTGTTTGTGTTCACTAGTGGCACTATGCAGTACGCGTATGTGCGTGACTCACGGTGCACATGTGCAAGTAGAAATAAATAGTTGGACGGACGCGACGCCGGCCGCACGGCGCGCCAGAGAATGTGACCGCCCAGTGCGGGAACTATCGATAGAAAACATTCCTTTTTCAAAACAGCTGGTGGATAAAATATTGAAGTATTCTGACGAGAATTAAGATTAAGATAGCTAAGTTATTCATGATGTGCTGTTATTGAGGCAAGCATGATGTGTAATACTAATGATGTCATCGGGCGTATTATGTGGTCTACAAATTTGAAATTTGGCTTGTAAATTGTTAGTGCGCCAGGGTATCATCTTAAAGCCAGGAATATTATAGAATTCCAGGCTATAAAAACTAATATAACTTAGAAGGCGAGTCACAACAGATCTATCAGGTCGGAGTGCCTATGCATAGCCCCTTAAAACTTACTAATAATTATCGTCTACGACATCCTAAAGTAACTAAAGTGTTAGGATGTAGTTATCGTCAAAGGCGGTAATATATTATGTAAAGTTCTTACGACGTTGATCGAGTTGACCTTAAAAATAACTAAACAGTCATTTTAACTATTAAAACTAATGGATTTTCTATATCAGTATATTTGATTTTTTAAGATCTTGCCTAAACATTGAAATCGGGTGCTATTAAGATTACAATGGAAGGCATGCCGCTTTACACATTTTATGCAATTCTCGTATTTGTCCATGCGATGGATTCCTTAGGTGTATCACATCTCTAAGGGCGCGAGTCGAGACTGGGTTGGCGCCGGTGTTTTTACCCTGTAGCACAAACCATCGGCATCGTATGAGTAGCCTAATCAAGCAGGCTCAGTCACCATCCGTACGTCGCACGAGACGGACGTCAGTGACGCTCGCGCACAAAAGCGCGATCGTAACACGATATGTGAAGTGTCTTATTGCCGTGCCAATAAAAATTTAAAGTGAAGTTGACGCTGTTTGTTTGGAGATTTTTGTCTTAGTTTATGTACTATTGGATTTGCTGTGAAGATGTCCACTTTCGTCAATACTGCCAGTGACACACAACCTGAAGTTAAAGGTAAGTTTCAGTACTTTTTTTAGGAAAAAATGTATTTTTATAATAAGTTTGATAGAAGAAGACATTTTAAATCATTTACAGTTTTCTTTCAGTGGTATGAATGAAAAGAAATTTCGATTGGGTTTCAGTATGTATACGATTAACGAACTATTTACATTTTATACGAATGACTAAACAACGAAATACTCTAACCACCCAGACCAGATTTCGCTACATTGGCTCGGTCGGGAATCGAATGGGGGACCTCTAAGATGACGTAAATAACTCGGTGTCGTTAAAACTAGAAAGGTCATCTAAAGTAGTCAAATTATATTGCTTGATTATTATATGTGTGAATCAAATGTTAATAAACTATCCATAAACTATAAAGAACAGTTACCGTAGCAAATTGGTTTTAAGTAACATATAATACTGGCTTTTTTTTTTTGACTTTTAGTGGATAAGGAGCATATATGTTAATACAGGATAGTACTTATACGTATATTAAATTTCATCGAAATTTGTGGAATAGTTTTTGCATGAAAGAGTCACAAACTATACGAGCAGAAGAACTAGTAAGAAAGAATAACTTCGAAATTAGCTCTTGTATGATGCGCTTATTGATCTATGAAATAATATTATAATGATTTAAAAGGATATCATATATAAAAAAAAGAAAAGTAAGAGTTTTTTTTTTATCAAAATTTTAAATAAAAGGCAATGAGACTCTCCCGTCTCTATATATCTCTAACGACAATTAGACTTCAACGCGCTCAATCTGCATATCTTTTGATTTTTTTTAAATTTATTAAAAAACCTAGTCAGGTAATATTTATACATATTTTTTAATCTGATAGAAACCTGGTCTGAATAATACTTTACTGAAAAATACGTAGCAACATAAAATTCTTTCTGTTAATAGTTTAAGATGGATTTCTATTTATATCATAACAAATATATTCTGAAATCTAAAGCCTAAAATTTAATTGAAGCTCTAAATTTCGCATTTAACAAAGAGTCTGCTTGTGCTTGTATAGAAGTTGATGCATTACATTTTTTGCAGTTTCACTTAAACTTCCGTGTTACCGCGTGTGCATGATAGCAATACAGTCTTATCCATATACAATTTTCTTAAATAGAAGTAAACTGTGAACAATGATTTATATGCAATAAAAATACGTAGAACTATTAAATAGATGGAAACATTAAAGTGCGACCAGGAAGTAATAGATTTAATTTGTGACTGAGTAGAATTATTATAGACTACGAGTATGTTAGCGCCACGTACCGAGCTTATCAAAAAGTATTTGAAGGTTATAAGTTTTTATTGTTATTGAAAAATCTTTTTGAAGTGACTCGTATTACAATATAACACTGTAGTAAAATTTGTTTGACATTTTAACGTCCATATTCAATCATGAACAAGTAAAGGTTTAATTATGTGCAACCGGCACAGTGCCCCTAGCGGTAACTACCTAGAATTATAAATTTTTAAACCAATTTTTAACATGTTCACTTGTGAGCGTGTTAGCATAAAATGTTTGTTTTTATGTTTTGCAAACATAGCCTAAATAGATGACATAATCAACTTTAACGACGCACAAACTAATCTCTACACCCCAAAACAAAGGGTTAACTAAAAAAAAACAAACGCACATGTTACTATAGGGTGCACACCCTACAGAGTGACAAGTGTGCCGACAAATATATGAGCAAGTTACGTCAGGACAAATTAAACCTTACACCTTTACTATAAGAGTGTCTAACAACATATGGCTGTTTCAGAAATTTGTTTGTTTGCTCACATGTTGCTCTGTGGGGGTCACATGAACTCAATAGCTGCTCTAACGTAGATTTTTTGCGTTCTTTTAATAATATATCCCACTTGTGAGAACAAATTAACTTTGGGATCAATCACCATTTGGTAATTTGGTTAATAGCTTCTAATTATAGAAACGTTACCGATGTCATTTTTACAATAATAAATTTTTCATATGATTGCGTGTCATAAAAAGGTTTACTTTAAGAGCAATTATTTTTATAAATAAATTTTTAACTGCCCTATTTCTATTTAAATACTGAGATCATCATCATAAAATTATTACTTATCATTATCATACAATACAAAGTTACTACGACGTACACCATAGACGCATCTTAGATTATGTTTAAGGGTTTATATTCCTTCGAATGACTACAGTGTAAAATAATAAGAGTATTGCACTTAAAACATATTATGTATAGATAAGCACCATAAAATGTTTTACCTTCCATAATCGTAAAAGTAGGACGTAGTTATGTAACAGAAAATAGTCTTAAATAATCCTTGCTAATGGCCATATTACATGTCATTTTATCGGAACAATACAATTATTGTACTAACTGTGTACAAAGACTTGTCATCACATGGTCAGTGACGTCACGCACCCGTTTGCTGCCCAGATGCGCCCGCACAGATGTCAGCCCGTGCACGACGAATGCTTGACATCTGTGGATGTTTCGCCCCGCTGCCGTTGCTACCAATAAACAAATTTCAACAAACCATGTTGAGTCTGTTTTACAAAAGAGTACCCTTGGCGTATCTCTTATTGCTTTTGTTAAAAGAGGGAAAACATCTTTTGTAAAGGGAACAATGCTAAATTATGGGTAAAGGATTTATTTGTAGATTTTAAACAAATGAGGTTTTTTGATTTGTTAATAGTTTTTAACTGGCTTAGTTAAAAAAAAGCTCAGGCTAGTAAAATGAAAAAAAAACATTTTTTTTACAACACTTAAGAATTTCACTTTTATTTACCTACTCTTAATGTAAACAATCAATAGAGTGATTTTCAAAGTTCGGCATCCTACGTAACTTGACTCACAATTCAATACTAATATACACGGGTGGGAAATAAATCTTACATACTTAATTATACAAAACACATTGCTAATTCGAAACATCATACATCATAATGTTACTTCGTGGAAAATTCTCATATAATTCCGAGATGTTTGTTTAGGCCTGCGCCATATGCGCCTGCGTCGATGATGATGTGCGTAGTGACACGAATGTTTGACACATGTACCCTGTAACTGTTGCATATTAACATATAGTTGAATATTATTTCTTTGGCATTCATGCGCGGCTTTGCTCGAGTGGAACTAAAATAAAAAGTAACTTAGCTAAGATATTTTTAATGAAAAATGCTCAAAAAATTCACTTTGTCTCTGGTATTCTGAGAAGAGATTCAAACCTACGACCTTCCGCAATCCGGGCGACTGCTATTACTACTGGGCTACAAAAGGCCTAACAGGACTGACGAATTTTTCATCCACTTGTTACTTTTTGCTACTACAGAGTGAATTTTCCTCAATGTTTAGGCAATCCATCTCTTGCCTAAACATTGACGAAAATACGCTCATACGGGCTGGTTGATTTTTTTAATATTTTTCTTTAAGAATATATTGATTAACTATTAAAGTGCTTATGCGTTAACAAGTTGAAATTTAATTTTCAACAATGTAATTTCCCATTTAACTTTTCTGATTGCCGCAAGTCATTGCAAATAATCAATTAATTCTATTTTGTAATCTTATCATTCAATAAACACGACAGCAAAATTGAGTACTTGTGCACTATACCAGCTGTAATGTACAAGTATTTAATTAGAAAGCACTATATACTGGATTATTTTAAGTGCAATGTGTCCTTATTTGAACTCAAATTAAATTAAGTCGTGTTTAAAATATGAAACTACTACAATAAATGACACTGACACATGAAAAGGCGGCGACATATATCCGGCAATTCTTAATCGGAAACAGAAACATCAAAATGGACAAAGGACTGTAATTTTCGTTGCACCAAACTTAATACATATAATTTATAGCCGAATGAAATATATTTACAAATATTTTAAACTTTCGAACAAGATGAAAATTTGTTCTAATTATTGTAATTTTTTTTTTATAGAGTTATTAATGCAAATTTGATAAAATATAATAACAATGATTCAATACCTACTGATCTGACGACCAAACATAAAAATATTATGAACTGTGAAATTCCTATTAGAAGTATAAGATCTTGTTTGCTGGAATCCGTTTGTGATGTGGACTGGGTTTTCCAACATAGATCTTATGTCGCTTATGATTGCAAAAAATCACCATGTCGTCATTTGTATAAAACGAGTACCTACTGTTGACGAAATCTACTGGGTTAAGTTTTTTAAATTAGACAAGAAAAGTAATTGTATAGGTATATCGTTAATATGCGATTGGTTTAAAAAAAAAAACTGTAAAACGAAAAACAACAAATTAAATGAAAAAAGTAATGATTGAACTAGTCTACTATTTTGTATTTTTCATAATGCGTATTTTTATAGGTATTTCATAAATAAAGATAAACGATACTCTTTAATACTCTTTTGAAATTTCAATTGAGAAACTGGCATGTTATAGTTATTTTAAATAACAGATTTTGTATAAATTACGGATTTAAATTTCAGTAAATAACCCTTATCAATTTATAAGCATTCATACACGTAACATTATCAGGTTGCCGTTTCACCACGTGCCTAAAAACTGGCTAACACACGTGAAATAGTGTTTCAAAATATACACGCCTTGTATACCAACAAAACGGATGTAAAATAAGAGGAAATACCACAATGCTATTAAGACTCGATTTCACGTAACATTGTTCAGATTTTATATTTATAATTTATAATCTTACCCAAATTATATCAACACAAATCTTAGGACCAATTTGTCAATTTTAAAGAAGGGACTTCTTTGAACTATGAATAAAAGTCACGATAAAAATGGGGTTTTTAAACCCAGTACTTATTTTTACTATGAACTTATAATATTCCATGCTATTACTATAATTATCGTCGTATTTGTATATCAATTTGAAAACAAGTTTCTGATGAAGCTTTTTAAACGAGTCATTTATTATAAATTCTCACTTATATTTAGTTGAATTATGGTATTTAAGGTTTACACAATAGTATCAATTGTCAATCCTTCATAAATTCAGA